CAAAATGTGCCAACAGATCCTCAGCATCAACAGATTTCTCCCCAAAAGAGTAAAGAACCAAATACCTCCAGTGTAAATAGCAGGAAATATTCCCAATTCCAATGTCCCAGAGTGAGAATTTACTGGAATACAGAATAGTTATGCTCTGGATCAAAGCCAATTCCTCTTTGTGGCTGGAAGTGCCCAACCTGTGCAGCAGAACTGCAGCCAGCTCATGAATGTGATGTGATGCTGCATCTTGCCCCTACAGACCTCTCCTAGCTTTGTGGTGAAGGGAATGACACCACAGCAAGGCCTGGGAAGGGAATCAGCATTCCTGCTCCAGCATAAAGGATGGACCAGGAGAATGGAAGTCTGAGCAGGCTGCATTTGCAGTCCTTGGCATAGCAAAGCACGTGAAAAGAGAACACAGCCCTTCCCAATGTCCTGGAAATTCCCCTTAATAATGCAAAGTTGGTTGTAGGAAACTTCAGGTATTTTTCTAACCTTTTAACCTTGCACAGAACCAGCAGGAATTCATCTGGAAAAGGCAATTAGCAGAGGTTAATTTGCGTGGCACCGGAGCTCATAATTTTTGCCTTTTTCTGAAGAAAAAAAAAAGGAGGGAAGAGGATATGAAAGTTAGCATGTCCTTACCAAAGCTATTAAGATAATTAAATAGTGCTTTTTCTCCCCATTTCTCTACTCTGTTCTTTGCACCCTCTCAGAATCTTCACTGACTTGAAGCTTTCCATGGAGCTGATTGAAATTCCAAGAATTTCACCTTTCAAACGTATTTTTCCATTGCCTTCCTTTTTTGGTTTATTTCTCGAAGAATCATTGTCCTCTCCAATCTTCAGCACTGTTATTTTCAAGCAATTCTAAGAATAGTTAGAAGGCTGCTGAATTCTAAACCCCAGTAGCATTTCCAGGAAAAGTAGGGAATATTTTAAGGCATAAATCATCTCACCAGCTCCAGGGGTTTTTGGTTGCACTGCTGTTGTTCATACACAAATCCTGATGCCAGAATAAGCAGGGCTGCCTAAGAGAAGACACTTCCCTTATGCTCAGCATAAGAAACGTGTCAATTTAAAAATAAATGTGTAATTGAGATGATTTTATGATGACGTGTGATCATATCCCTGGTGCCAACAAGACCTCAAAGGCCAGAGCATGGTGAAGCCAATGGGAAAATCCCCCTTGTTTTCAGTATTCTATGGATCAACCTTCAAACTTTAGTCCATCAGAGACAAATGGATGTTTAATTTATCACCCAGCCCGAGGGAACTAAGAAATGCTTCAAGGCAAGTGCTTTAAGTGAGCCTCAGGCAAACAGCACTTGCAGGAATTCGTTCTTTCCCTCCCAAAAATGCTGCTGCATTATCCCCTGGCTGCCAGATTTGTTTTCATCCTGCTGCAGCACTGTTAGGAATAACAGGACTTATCTACAGGGCATTAAATCAGTAGGAAGAGGAAGCAGAAGCATAATCCATTTCATCTCTCTTAAAATAGAAGCAGCAAAAACCTTCTACTGACTTGTCCAAGACAGCAAAATTACATCTTTATATTCAACTAAAATTTATGATTCCCTAAAAAGAGATTGAGATCGGGTGCAGTGATTCAATCGAGAGTTTTGGTGATAAGCTGAAAGGTCTGAAACCAGTTTTGCCAATATTTAATTTATCAACTTGATCAAGAGTAAACTAGCAATCTAGATCTCTTCAAACCCCAAGCACAGACTCTGATTAGTTTTAAGTCTTAATTCACTCTCCCCATGGAGATGTCACTGGAAGGACTTCATACCACAAAAACCACACAAAGAAGGACATCAAGCAAAAAACGGCGTGTGCTCAGTACGAGAAAAGACAACTATTTATTTAGCACAGCGAGGTCAGTCATTTAAGCCTTCTGCTTAGACAGATTTGGGGCTGAGAGAGAGGGATTTGATCCCTCGGCCCGGTGCTCGCTGGACATTTTTGGCTCGGAACGAAAGCACTGCACAGCCTGGCACAGTAAGGCAGGACAGGAGGTGTTTGCAAGTTAGGGCTGCAGCGTGCTGTGCCATCTAGGCTGGATCTGCCCGGCTCAGCACTAGACCCACACTTGGAAAAGCTCTACAGCACAGCCCAGGATAGTCTAAAAGTGCCTCATTTTAAAGCAAAGAGCCCACACGACTACCCAGGCAGGGAGCAGGGGCTTGGGGCTCCGAGCACACCACACTCTCAGCGCTTCACCAGCCAGACATTCCTTGCGCTGAGAAGAAACCAGGACTGGAAAGGAATTCAGGAGCTGCATGGCGTGGTGGGAACGGCACAGGAAAGACATCATGGACACTTGGAGTGAATGCAGGGAACGAAGGAAGGGGCATCTCCAGTTTGGATTCTCTCCCTCCCCCAGACTGCAGCAATACAACACAAAGGTTTGTACACGCAGGGTGTGCTTCAAAGCACACACACACAGGCACAGACAGATGTTTTCAAACCAAACTGCCAAAGAGGTGGGTTCCAGGTGCAGAACCTGGACAGCAGAATGTTAAGTGATCACAGGAAGTGGAAAATCCCTTGAGAACAGGACAAACCACGTTCAAAAATCCCTTACGAACAGGACATACCAGGTTTGCTGTGCAGGGAGGGCTCGAATGAGTGATGTGCCCCGATGAGGAGCTGCAGCCCCATCACCACCTCTGTGGTGTTTCTGGATGAAATTGGTGGCCTTGAATCTGAGTGCTCTAAGGGCAGGCAGGGTTGGGAGATGGAAAAAAGGTTAAGGCCATTGGCTGAGAACTCTTTTTCCCCTCTTCTGTTGCCAAAGGTGAAGACAAGGAAATAAAAACATTTTAGAAAATAAAACTGGAGACTGAAGTGAAGCAGACGCTTCACCTTCCTCCCCCAGTCTATCTATGCTGGCAGAATAGATAGATGCTGTGCCTAATGTCACACACTGCTAAAAACAATCCTGGGCCAGAGCTGACAGGGAGGGAGGGGACAGGAAAGGTAGAAATATCTCTTGAAAACAGAAGTCACTGTATGAAAATCAATACCCTACTTGGCAAAACATGAACCAGAGCAGGAGGGGGTGATTTCCCTTCCTTCTGAGCAACATAAGCAAAACTCCCTGTGAAAATTGCCCTGCAAATTTGTGCTGCAGAAGTCTGAGGGGAGAGGAGAACCCTTCTGCTTCTAACCCTTCCCCAGGCTGTGACACACTGCTGCTGGGAGACACATCCACAGCTCATCCCAGAAGTGCTTTAGGCTACCAGGATCTCACCTGGAGCTGTAGCCCTGCTTCCCAAAACTCCTGTGAGCCCAACACACCCGCTCCTGTCTCTGTGCTGGCAAAGGTGGAGGCATCAACCTCCAGCCAGACCAGGACACAGTGTCTGATATTCCCAGAGGCCATGCACCTTTGGGAACATCTTCTGAGCTCACCATAGGAGTAGCCATGCATTCCAAGACCATGTGCATTCAGCAGGGCAGATCTGGAGGTAAATAAGCCAGACATCAGCCAAGAGAAGAACTGCAGGGACTGTGCCAGAGGCACTGCATAGGCAGCACCTGAGGAATCCACACCTCCCTCTACCCCTGCAGCCCCATAATTCATCCATCCATCCATCCATCCATCCATCCATCCATCCAACCATCTCAGTTAAAGGTGCACGACGGGCTCTGTAACAACTCACCCCACTGTGTCACAGCCTCTTTCTAACCATCACTCCTGCCCCTGCCCATGGACTGTGGCCACTGCCAAGCTCCCATTGGACCTCATTTAATCTCTGATCCAACTTACACCCAAAATGTGAGAGGTTTTTATAACACCCTGTTTTGCAGCAGCCAAAAGAAGCCTAATGGAAGCTTTCAGAGGTAGATCTCCTCACCTCCTGCTGTTTAGTGCTGAGCATCAGCCAAAGCACTAAACACCCTCTCTCCTCCCCCTCAAAAAGTCTGGCTTTAGAGCCAGTGTACTCACCCATGAAATCAGGCTGCTCCTGAGGGCTGGGAATTTGTTTCCATTTCCAAAGTGTGGACGAGTTACAAATCCCTGCTACTACTGTCACAAGAGGGAGGTTAAGAAATCCACCCAGGACAGACTCCAGTGCTCTTGAAAGGGGTTTCCCTGGTATTAAGCAGGTAGGTCAGTTTTATTCTCATGGGGTCCCAGGTCCTCTCTGCCCCTAACATCAGCTCATGTCTCCCCCTTTTCCTGTCTTCCCATGTGCTGAGAAACCACAGCCTTCAGTGGGGGCAAAAATCCAGTGAAAGGCCTTATCCAAAGCCCAAAAAAATGAACACAAATAGTCCAGCCAACCTCAAGGGAGCTTGGACTGAGGCCACAGCACCCTGCCAAGCCCAGCATAACTTTAGGAAATACTAGATCCAAAACAAAGTCTCTCTATCCCAAACACTGCCCACGTGACCCTGGCGAGCCCTGGGTTCCTGAAGGCTGCAGTGGGACTTCTCTGGGCCACAGCACAGCCCCTCTGGTCACTGTCCCGCAGGCAGCTCAGCCAGAAGAGTGACCTGATGTGACATGCCAGGCTCACACTCAGCTCTGCCATGATGCAGTCTCCACCTGCAGCCACCCTGGTTCCTCCGGAGCACTTCCCAGGCGGGTGTTCCAAGGTGGGATGATGCGCGGCGGATACACAGACACCGATTAGGGATAGCCCGTGGCTGTCGGGTCAGGGAGCTGCCTCTTCCCTGCCACTGCCCCTGTGCTTCCCTTTTCCTGGGGGGAGGCTGGAAAAACACCCCCAGCCCAGTGCAACAGGCGAGCCGGCCCTTAGCACTCCCCTTCCATCTTCTTTACCACAGCCCAAGTTAAAACAGAACCAAACAGAAACCAAAAACACAAATTGGGACTCCGAATGGGACGTAGAACACTTTGGACTTGAAAACGGGACTGCAAGAGCAGGGGGGGTGTCTCCCAGGGAGGACAGCAGGGGAGGGGAGGGGACACCGTCATTTACACCGATCAGGAGAAGCTGTAATCTATACACAGCAGTATAAGCCAAGATATATTACATGAAAGAACACACTGAGTGCATGGAGTTACCCACAGCGGGTCAGAATGGCACAGTTGTCTTGAACAAGACCCTGGAGTTGCAGTTGGTGTTTCTTGTTGACCTATCTAGCTCGCTCTCTATATATATAGCTATGTATAGAATTTCTCTGCATGCATTTGTCTCAAAAGGAGCTGTACAGCTGGGCTGGGTTTCTTATCCCCACCCCATCTCCGTCTTCATTTTTTCCGGGCTAGGAGTGCCGCTCCCAGAACCACAGCCAGCGCAGCCACCGCCACTCCTCCAACGATGATCAAGGGCTTCATGTTGTCGAAGAAGCTGCCCGATGACTCCTCGGAGCTGTTTCCCTTGTGGTCAGAGTCAGGGGACTGGCCGCTGGCCTCCTGCGTCTCCGTGGCGGCGGGGCTGGGTTTCAGGTTGCTGTGGTTGTTGGCGATGGCGGCGTCACTGCCTGCCTTCTTGGTGGCCGTGGCAGGAGCTGGCTGCTCTTTGGGGGCTTCCTTCTTGTCTGCATTGGTGGCAGGCCCAGGGTTGGGTTTTTCTGGCTTCCCGGAGCTGGCGGCCTTGGCGTCGGGTTTGTTTCCGCTTCGGACGTTGCCTTTGGAATCCATCCTAGGGGTGCTGTAGGCAGTGGCTAGATACGGGCGGCTATCCCAGCTCTTCTCCCTTGCCCGGTTGCTCCAGGAAGCAGAGAAGCCACCCGAGCTCAAGGCCTGGGAGCGGTTTTTTTGGGATGCTTTTTCCGCTGGCGGTGTCCTACCTGGACATGGTACAGCACCTGGAGGGGGAAGCACAGCAAGGAGAGGTGAGTGACAGGGCAGAGCAAGCCAGTGTTGCTCTGCCTGGAGGTGATGGAGGAGGACAGAAAGGAAGACTGGAAAACTGTTGGCTCTTTCTTTCAGAACTGTGAACTCCATTCAAAGCATTTTCTACATGCTCTGTGCCTGTAACAATAACAGAACCAGAGAATGGCCTGGTTTGGAAGGGACCTTAAAGCTCACCTGGGTCATGCTGGACTGGGAGGCTGGGACACCTTCTGCTGGATCAGAGAGCTCCAAGCCCTGTTCAGCCTGGCCTTAGGCACTTCCAGAGATGGGGCAGCCACAGCTTCTCTGGTCAGTGTTTGCCAGGGCCTCAGCACCCTCACAGGGAAGGATTTTTTCTTAATATTAAACAGGAACATCAAACAAGTTGGACTGACTGTCATCTACGGCTGCCACATCTGGGCATCCACAGTCCATCCTGGCTCTGTGTGTGAGGCCATTTGTCAGCGATGACAAACTCACATCCAACCATCCAACTAAACAAACCTTTCTTTGCCTTTGCTCACCCTTTCAATTCCTTCTAGGTAAGGAGAAAACATTTTGTTCCATGGGGAAGCAGATGGATAGATCCTGCCTGCCTGTCTCACCTTCCACCCTTCCTTTCACAGCACTATCCCAAGGTCGATTTAGGGAGTGGTTAATATGTGATCTTGTGTGATACTCTCCCTCCAGATGGGTACTGCAGGAAAACCAGGATTAGTTCCTCAGTTCTCACAGGTATCAGGGATAAAAGGATTATTCCTGCCAGCATTTTGGTGGAGCAACAGCAAAACAAAGAGCCAGATCATCAGCTGGTGCAAAACAGAGAATTGACTGCATGGATTTACTGTAGAGCTGGATGTCTCTTGGTGTCAGAGACATCTCACTCCTGCCATCTCCTTTCAGGGTTTGCTGGGCTTGCCCATGGAGCCAAACAGGATGCTGGTGATCAGCTGAGGCTGTCTTCCCCAGGGAACTGGTGGAAGCAGTGAACAGCTTTGGGAATTCAGCAGAGGGACAGAGTGGGCTTTGAGGGGATGTAAAACTACCACAACAACCTCACCCCACAAACGTGGCAGGGCAGGGTGAGCTGAGGATGGAGCTCCTGTGGCTGCACTTCCATGTGAAGGGAGGAGAGGACAATACACTGGGCATTTTGCCAGCAGCCCTGGCAGTTCAGCACCACATCAGCTCCCAGCTAGAGAAATAAAGAGTAACCGGGAGGCAGCATCGGATCCGAGCCGCCGGCTTTGCCGGCTCCCTGCTGACCTTCAGGGCTGCCAGGAGCCTGCAGGGAGCTTTCTGCCTGCTAAGTGAAATCAGAGCTCATTGTCTGGATCGAGAGCTGAAGAGGCTCCTCAAAAACCTCAGCAGCTCAGAGGGCAGATCACTCCTCTAATGACAGGAACAAAGTCCCAGGACTGCAGCAATGATCTGTGCTGCTGACTCTTCTGGAAAAGAGGCAGACAAAGGTGGGGCTTTCATCTCCATTTAGGCAGGAATGGAGGAAATCTCACAGAAATGACAGGTTTGGAACTAGAGCAAAGCTGATCAACACCTTACGGTCCTAAGATGGAAACACCTCCCTCTCCTGCTCTTCCTTGCCAGCCATTGCTTGGTGGCCACCACCTGCTCCAGTGCCAGTCAGGTGGAGCTGACTAAGGGAACTGCAGCACCAAAATCATGGAATTCCATAGCTCTCACAGAATATCCTAAGTTGGAAAGAACCCACAAGCATCTTCCAGTCCAGCTCCTCACACTGCACTAGGCTTGGTGACCATCAAACCCGATACTTCTCATTGACTGCAGCTGGACAGTGCTTGCATTCCCTAGTTTGGGATACTAAACCCTTTTGGAAAGCCCAAACTCTCTCTCTCTCACAGTTTGCTGAGTGTGTATCAGACACTTGGGCATCCTGTACCACACAAACACCACCCAGCTTCAGACCTCGCTGGGGACTGGGGCTTGGGAGGGAAACAAGGGCCTGGCCAAGTACAAGAAATATTTTCCTCTCAATGCTCATTCTGTAATATTTCTGTAGATATTACCTGCCTCACCTTTTCCTGTTTTTCTGGATGCTTCCAAAGAGCATCCATACTGCTCTGTCAGCACAAGTCCTACATAAATCCAGGGCTGAGGCTGTGCAAAGTCACTCAAAGCTCCTCCGGTTTGGGACCAATTTATCTTTTTTTTTTTCAATCTGGTACCGTGAGACACAAAGAAATAGCAAGTGGAGCCCACAGCTGAAGTGGGCTCAGAGCTTAAAGCAGGGAGAATCAGATTAATCATGGCATAAATATTAATTTACCTTCTTTGTTGCTTTGATATCAGTTAACTGGGCCACTCACACACTCAGATATTCATGTGGTTACAGCACATGGACCAAGCATTAAACTTCTGCTCTTTCCCTAGGAAAATCATGTGCAGCCTGTGGAGATTGTGAGGCAAATCAGAGATTGTGAGGCAAAACTCACCTTTTTTGCTGAGAAATGGGGACCCTGTACAGCCCTGGCACCTCAAGATTTATCCACACCCCTCACTGATCCAGATTCCTGGGGGCAGGAAAGCTGGTTTTGCTTGGATCCCATGCAGGGCCATGGAGCTTTGTCCTGCTGCCATGCCGATCTATCACACATGCCCTGCACTGCCACAAACAGAATTTCCTGATTCTAAGTGAATTTCCACTAAAAGCAACACAAACGCATCATGCAGCTTAGAAAAGGTTTTAAAAGCTGTAGAAACCAAACTGAGCCAAAAATCAATATTGGCAGTTCTTAAGTGCCCACATAAAAGGGCTTTTGTCTGTGGTTTTCCATCACTGCAAGTAGCCACAGGATCACCCAGCACCTCTCCAGACCTTCTGGCCTGGCTCCACCTCCTCCTCTGGCTCCTGGGTACCCTTAGAAGCACATCCTCTTCCATCCCAGTACTTAATCTTCTTCTGTGTGCTCTTAGCTCCCTACCTTGGCAATCATCTCTCCTCTCCATCCTGTACTTCCAAGGGCATGACCATGAGCTCATCTTTAAGCACTTCTGTCTCCCCCAGACTGAAGAAAGAGGTGCTTTCCTCATATCCAAAAACTAAGCCTGCACATGAGGGTTCCCCCATTCCTTTGTCTCCTCCTCTTCCCTCATTCCATCACACCAAGTTTTTCTCTAATGACACATTTTCCTGCCTTTGCTTTCTTCTTTATAGCTCCTCACATCTTTTAATTCCTCTCTTCTCTCTTGTCAGCTGCTGTCTCTGCCTGTCTACCCATTCCTCCCCCTTCCAGCTTGCTCTCTGCCTCCTACACAGACAGCAGCACTTTGGAATAAGATTTTGTGGAAGACAGGCTTCATTCCCTGCCTCCCTTTTCCCTGCTCCATGCTATTTCTGTTTAACAATCAGTGCCCTTTCAGGGAGGTTCTCATTGCCAGCAGCTAAACAGCTCTTTCTCAGGCTGGGAAGACGGAGCTGGAGTAATAAAACCAGGGATGATAAAGGAGAAAAAGGAAAAGGAAAGCCTTCCAAATTGATGCTGCTGCAAAGATTGGCACGCAAACGCCACAGCTCCCCTGGGATGCTCTCAAGGTCAGTGCAGTCGGACTCACCCAGCGCAACAAGCTGCCCTCTGCCAGAGCAACAGGCCAGCGGAGGAACAGCTTCCCTTGGCTCCCTGAAGGGCACCTTTCCTGCCTCAAATCCCAGCAAATCACCAAACACATCTATTCATCTGTCTCCTGCGTGCACAGATGAAATCTGCATCAATCCTGCACCGAAGGCAGCGGATGAGTCATTGCTAAGCTGTGCCACAGCACAGCTCCATCCGGATGGCCCCTTCCCCCTGCAGGGAGCAGCCCATCTCCAAATCCTCTCATCCTCCCCTCCTGCTTCCATTTGGAAGGAAAAGTCAGTCACTTTGCAAGACCGAGGAGCTGCTCCAGGGTGTAGGTGTGGGGTACAGCGGGAAGCTCATCCATCTTGCAAATAGCTACTGACCACATCTGACCTGGAGCAATGCTGTGCAGAAAGAGCCAGAGATGGCAGGAAACTCCTCATCTTCAAATCTTCCCCCTTATCACTTCATCTCCTCTTCCCTTCTTTGTCACTCCTACCTGTCTGGAAGAAAGGCACTGATCCCCTTGTGCACAGGACAGACAGACCCTTGCTCTCCCTAAGGAAACAGCAGCTGGCACCAAAGGTGACTGTCACAGCGGTGGGAGCTCCTTTCCCAGCACTCTCACCATCCCACTCTCCTCCACCTTCTCATCTAACCTCTCAGGAATGCAGCTTGGACCACCCTGTCCTTTGGGAAGTGTCCTCAGGGGTCTGTGCCTGTCCCCTCTGCCACATGTGGAGTGATCTGTCAGGGCTGGAAAGATTTGTGTCCAGTCCCCTCCTGCAACTGAGCAACATTCCCAGTGCTCCAACTCCCCATTTCCAATGGGGATAACCAGCATTTCTCCTTTTTTTCTGAGCTGCTGGGGGAACAAATGTGTTAAAGGTGGGGAGATGCCAAGCAAGCACCCAGGAGAAGGGCGGCAGTGTAGTGACTAAGCCTTTCCCCATGCCCAAGAAGTGCAGCGAAGATGGATGAGGTAATGCACCGCCTCTGATATTACCATAAATATTAAAGCAGCTTTACATAAGGAGCTTGTGTTCTCTCAGCTGCCGTGAGCAGCTCCCCAAGGAGGACTTGAGCTCCCTTCCAGGCTATTTCAGCCCCCAGCTCCTGACGCAACGCCCGGCAAATGTGACACAACGCAACGCAAACCCCACGCCAGCAGAGTCACTTGTCAGATGCCTCTAAACGGCCTCAGTGCTGCACAGCCAGGCACAGACTGTACAGGAGCCCGCTGTGCATCCCAACCCTCCCAAATCCAACCCTCAGAGACAGCAGCACCAAGTCGCAGCAAACACTGGTGACCCACTTCACTCTGATGAGATATTTATGAATCTTTTTCCAAGTCTGTTGTTTGTTACTCCCCACATCCCTCCCCCCATCCCTGGATTAAACATTTCCCTCTCAAAAAGCCCTTTGAATCTTCTTGTGGAGTGTCAGATGCTGGAAGTATTTTAGCAGGGGCAGCAGCCTCAAATCACTGCCACTGGGGGAGATCTGCCAGCCAAGCCTCTGCTCCATGGCTGCGGCAATTCCTGCAGCTGCTCTGAGCTCCAACATGCTCCTCACTGCTCCAGCTGGTGCTAGCAGTGACCAAAAATCTGCACCCACCACCCCCACAGCGTGGCCAGGACCCCCCTTCTCACTCCCAGTGCCACCGAGCCACATCCCCTCTCTCCAGGCTGGGCAATGCATCCACACAGAGATTGGGTTGTACCTGGCACCAAGGTGAGGTGTGGGAACAGGATGGGTTCCTGTAGCCCAGCAAAGGTGGCTTTACCCTCCATTAGCAAAGAGAAGGGCTCTGGGATGCAGACCCTGGGCCACCAGCTGCACAAAGGTGTGACACCATTGTCAGCATCCTCTCCAGAGGCTGCCCAGCCATGCTGCCCACACAGGTGACACAGCACTTCAGTCTCCCCACCAGCAAGAGCCCAGGAACAGCTCTGTGGTCTTTGTCTGCACCACAACCTCTGCAGATGACAAGCTCTGAGCTGAGCATCACCTCTGCAAGCCACACACATCTTGTTCCCAAAGAATTCCTGGGACGGACGTGGCAGACATTTTATTCTCTGAGAGATGGAGGCGGCATTGCAGACACACCACGCTCCTGCCAGGGGCTCAACCTGTGTTCTTTTCAGGGGGTTTAACCCCAAACACAGCTCCACCCTTCCCCCCTGTCTGTACACAGCCACATGTGCAGCAAAAGCCAGGCACTGCCGAGCAGCTGTGGGAGAGAGAAGATTTTGTCTCCAGCCACGTGCTCCGGCTGACTCCCCAGGGGTGGCCACTGAGTCACACCTGGCACAGCCCTGGCCTGCTGTCAGCAGGAGCAGTCACACCTGGCATGGCCCCTCAAGTGCCACAGGCCTCCCCCCATGCAGCTGCACTCTCAGACACAACTTATAGCAAAATAATTTCTAGAATTTGATAGAATCTGGAAATACTTTTGCTGAGACTGGGTTGGAAATACCCTGCTGCAAAGCCTGGCTCCTCAGGGTCCCAACACAGTCCCCAGGCCCCCAAAACAGAGTTCAGTGAACCTCAATTTGCTGTGCTAACCCCGCTTTAATCTTGGGTTTGGACCTCCCTCAGACAGAAAATCAAATCCTCTTTTCCCCTGCCTAGTTCCATTTTTTTGTAGCAGAGCAAAAATGTAGCTTTTACCCTTCAAAAGTCATGAGGTGTTAGATCTTGAGCCTCTCCGTGGCAGGCCTGAGCATCCCTCACCCCAAGACAGAAATTCAGGGCACAAAGGAAAGGCTTCTCAGCCAGAATGACTTTTTTTTCTTCCCATGGCAGCTATTTGTCAGGACACTGGATCGAAGCACTGGAGCAATAATGGGGAACACTGTGGGAGATGCCACAGCAACAGGAATCCTGAAGCCTTAACCCATGAAGTGTGACACCTCACAGGGATCTGGGTACATCCTGAACCCTACCGTCATGTTTTGACTTTTGCAAACACACTCAGTTCCTTTCTTTATAATATTTTTCTGGCCCTCCCAGAGCCAAAAATTCAATTCCAGCAACACCCTGCCTGGGGCCATGGCGCTTGTCTGGGTTCTCTGCTCAGCTCTGGGTCTGTGGTGCCAGCTCAGGGATAGCATGACAGGGTCAGAAAACATTCCCTGCCTCTTGGAGAATGGTGAACAGACATTCCTTCCCACCACAAAGCCCTGCTCCTTACCCAGGGCCTGCCAGCACTTGGGAAAATCCTTTGGGAAGAGGGCAGATGATTCCAAATTGGGGTGCTGCTCCCCAAGCCAGTCCCCAGCTTCAGGAGGCTGATTCCCTTTCTGACAGATCTTGCTTTTAAGGCGTCTTCCTCACAGTCCTGTATCCCAAATTCAATATCCATAAGCAAAAAAGGATGAGGGATATATGTGACACAGTGAAACAGCCCCAACCACTGCAGGCTGGGGTCAGGCATTGATGCTGCAGGAAGCAGCAGCAAATTCAACATCCCTCCCCAGCTTATGGGCATCCTAAATCCATCCCTTCTGCCTAATGCAGCATCACCCCCTTTGTGGCTGAGCTGGGGCCAGCAGAAAGATTCTGGAAGCAATTCCTTACAGGCAGAGCTGCGTCTGGAATCTGGCAGCCCCTGGATCTGCATCAGCCTGAAAACTGTTGCTCTGCAGCTGAAATCTAAGAAGCCACCGCAGGCAGATGAGAGGCCAATTCCACATGAGGCAGTGACCTTCCAGGGAGGCTCCCCACACTCTGGGGTAAAATCCATCCCTTACCTTGTGCAGCAACACCAGGGCACTTTCCTTCCCGGCAGAAAGCTGGAAAGCATCTGGGGAAGGATGGCCAAAGCTCCTCCAGCATGGAAATCCTTGCTCGGGGAGCTCCATCCATCCCTCCACCCCGTCTGACAGCCCCAACACCTGATCCAGGATGGGGACAATGTGCCAGGTTGTTCTCCTGCCAGGGGAGGGGACGGATGCAGCGGGATGAAAATGCACTTTTAGGGAAGAATTGGGTTTTTTTTTCCCCCATCCTACCACAGTATCACAGGGTTAGATGGTATTGGGCACCATGGCTGAGAAAGGACAGATTTCCATTCCACTGAAGGTCAAACCTGTGAAGGTCAGACTTTTGGAGGTCAGTCCTGAGATGGAGCACGGAGCTTAATCCGGTGTAGTCCATCCTCCCTCTCCTGACTGCATCCTGCCCAAGCCCCACCCAGGAAAGCAGGGCTGCGGCAGGGGGGAGTTTCCTCCTCTTGTCCCAATGCCCAAGTTCTGCCAGCCTGACCCCGATTCAATTTTTAAAATCCTCTTCCTTCCCCCTTTGCATCTCCCCAGAAGCCACCAGCGGGACAGAGAAGTAAACAGGAGCAAATCAACAGGTTCCTGCAAGCACACATCACAGGGATGCACATGGATGCGCAGAGAGCAGGGACATCTGACTGAAGAGCCTGAGACATTCCCAAAGCATTCCCTCCCTGGAAGCACCCACCGTGACTCAGGAGACACGGTCTGGTATCCACCCCTCTCCCGCTCCTTCGGTGCAATATTCTCCCTTAAAACAGGCACTACTGCCTCTTGACATTTTTCTCCCTTTCGTTTGTTTTTTTGGGGGCAGATTTCCCTTTGTGAGCCACTCTCCAGCACAAGCCCAGGGTCAAATCAAAGGATGCACCCCCTAATTGATATCAAATTCTCCATGTCCAACAAAACAACCCCCTTTCCTCGGAAAAGGCGAAGCCTGAACCAAGCTGCCGGCTGTTCCCGCTTCCCTCCTACCTCAGGACTGACAGAACTAAAGAGAGCCATTAAATCCACCCAGGCAGAGCAAAAGGCAAGCAAGTCCCACTCTCCATGCAGATGGGAGCGGAAAAGCAGCCGGAAAACTGCCCAAAACCTCTCAGGGAGGTGCGGCAGCTCTCCTGCCAAGGCTGGAGGGGCTTAGCTCGGGATGCTGCCTCCCCTCCTCCCTCCCAGCAGCCCTGTTTCCGGCACATGGCCGGCTCCGCTTCCCCGTGCCCGGCTCCCTCCAGCCTCCGGAGCGCTGCTGCGGCGCCCAGGGCCTCTCCTTCCCCCGGCCCGGCTCGGATCGGACGGAAGGGCTCGCTCGGGCGCCTTTGCACAGCCCGCAGAGCCGGCGGAGGAGGCTGCAGGTAGGTGGGGGCAGCGGGAAGCAGCGGGCAGGAGGCACCCGTGCTTTTGCAGAAGCGCCTTCTGTGACTGTCTGACCTTCAGGGAGCGAAACGTGCGAGCCGGGACGGGAAGGGAACCCCTCGGGGCCGGCCATCCTCCTTGTCTGGGGGCAGAAAAGCACTTTTTGCCTCTTACGGGGAAAGCTGTGGGCAGAGGCAGGCGGCGTGGCAGCCCCCGGCCTCCATCGCAGGCGGCTGCGAGGAGATGGACACTCACCTTGAGCAGGCAGCTCCGCGTCTCCATTTCGCTCGGTCACCCTGCGCAGGACATCCGCACGTCCCCGAGCCGGCAGCCCCGGCCCTTGCACCCCGCGCCCCCCGTGCCGGCGGCATCCCTTACCTCTGTCCTCCGGCCGGCCGAGTCACACCTTGGGAGCTGGCTCTTGCGCAGAGAGGAGGGAGGGAGGGAGGGGGGTGGGATGGGATGGGGGGGGG